CCCCACTTTCTGAAAGTTTGTGTCCAAGCCAATTTACTTCTGTTTTAAAGAAATCACATTTCGACAGCTTCAGGGATAAGTTTTCCTAATCTAATTTCATTAGAACGTCGGTAATTAGTTTTTCATGTTCTAGCTCCGATCCCTTTGAGACGATCAGTATTTCGTCCAAGAAACAAAACGTATTCTTGGAATTATTTAACGTTCGATCCATTGCTTTTTGAAATTCGGCTGGCATATCTGCCAACCCATAGAATCCCGTCAAAAATCGATATGTGCCCGTAGCTTTTCCCCCTACGATGTTGAAATTACACTGTCTTGCAGTTTGCGGAGTCAACTTTAACTGACTATACGCATATTTCAAATCTAACACAGTGAAAAACAAGGTACCTGCTGTTTGCGCAGTCACTATCTGACTAACACCGTCTAATAGCTCCTCCACATTCGGCATCTGATACTTGTTTTTGTATAATTGTCTGTTGATGGGCTTTGCATCCAGAGCCAATTTAATTGAATCATCTTTCTTCACTGTAATGACAATAGGGGCTATGAAACAATCACTGGTACACTTGTCTAACTTCTGAATATGGCCTTCTAGTAGTAAGTTTTCGATTTCCTTCTCAACTTTTCCTTGCACATGGATGGGTATTCTCCTCCCCTTTTCCTGAATTGGGCAGAGAGGGTACTTGAATGTTGTATTTACTACATGATGTACTGATCGTCCTTTTCTGTCAAACAGTGGTTTGAAATCCTCATAGAATTTTTCTTTCCACGGCCCCGACTGTTCGCACAGCATTATGTCAAATCGGGATTTTATCTTCGGGGCGGGTCTTTGCGTAGTGGTTATACCTACTTTATTTTGTAAATCTAAACCTAAGATACACCGTGTCCTTCGTTCAGTTATCAGAAATGTGGCATCCGGAACTTCCCAGCCAGCGGAACGTATTTTTACCTTCACAGCTCCCAATATTGCTATTGGTTTTTTATTATAGTTCACGAATTATGCTGGCAAGTTCAATTTTTCGACCGAACTAAACTGTATTTTCTCTGACGAGTCTAAAATCTGTTTCGCCACTGTCCAATTTATAAATGAAATTGGGCTCCCGGTGTCCACGGTCATATTTATTATTCGGTTATCAATTCGGATTAGGGCTTTCAGTGATTTCATCCTTCCCGATGTTGAATCTTTCCGAATGTCAATCTTTTTCGTTTCGAGTTTGTTTACTCTATTGCTGCCACTGTTCTCTTTTACTTTCTCTTCGATGTATCGATTGATCATCTCTATCTGACTGTCTTTTTGTTCAATTGCCATAGCCTCAAATTTTTCGCACGAATCAAATGTTTGAATCAAGTTACATTCTTCCTCAGAACTCTCTGTATTCTCAGTTATTTCACTGACTTGTTGTGAACGACACATTCGAGCAAAGTGGTTTGGTTTAATACAGTTCTTACATTGTTTTCCCATTGCCGCACAATTTTTCAAATGACCATCTACAAATGGTCTGCCACACCTATTGCATTGTTTCCTATCATCTGCGTTATATTTATTCGATATCGCCCTTCCTTCCGGCTGTTTCCGTCTATTCCTTTCACGATAGGGTTTTCTAGTATTCTGATTCCTGTTTCCTACCGCCAGAATCGGTTCCTGCTTGATTTTAATTTGAGAACCTGGTTGAGTTATTGTTTGAGCAGTACCCAGAGTGGACTTCTGAAACGCCTGTGTCGATTGTTTACTCTGCTCGAATTTTATCGCATGTTTTAATACTTCTTCGGGAGGTAATGTTTCGAACGTGAGCGTGTCCTGCAATGCTGGACTTCGCTTTTTAGAAATAAAGAGATCTCTGACTAACTCATCTTCTAAAGTGTCCAATGCCGATTTCGCTGCTTGAGCAGTTAGTGCGGCATGAAATGACTCTAACGATTCTCCCATTTCCTGCGATCTATTAAATAACTTGTAACGCTCATAAGTGATGCTCTGGCATTTTTCAAAAGTCTCCTTTGCTAATCTAGCCATCTTTTTAAATTCCAATTTAGAAATCTCCACATGTGGATTTTTTTGAACAAAACGTTTCTTTCCTTCCGTCCCAAATGCAAGAAATAGTCTGGATACTAATCTCTTTTGAACTTCGTTGTAGTAAATATTGTGACCCACTTTAGGTCCTCTTTCTCTCCTCTCTTCATTCTCGGCTGCTACTCGATCTTTTAATAGTCTGTCCCGTGCTTCTCTAGCTGCTGTTGCAGCAGCAGATTCGCCCTCTCTGGGTGTTTCTGGACGGGGTTCCGGCTCCTCCAACACTGGTTTAGGATCTTCCAGCATAACTTCTGGGTTGACATTTTCTTTTACAGTTACCGCCATCAGGAACTGATCGAACCATACTTTAAAATTCCAAGGTGGATCAGAGTTCGCTGTGGTCCAATGAACAGGAATTCCCATGTCAGTTCTATTGTCCTGAGCCAGAAATCCTGCTGGCTGCGCCATGTGATATTCCTAAACTGCGTAGCGTGTTGAGGAATAAAAGTAAGAAAAGGTACTGTTAATTTACTGTTCTTGATCTTGTCTTGTTAATGAAGTTAGTAGCTGAGATTGGTTACTGTTTTATAGCATGAGACATGAAACACTGACCAATTCATCTATAACGTTTTAGCAACACCAAATGGCCTTGACCACTCTTACATAATAATAGCATAATAAATATAGTTAGCACATATGGTTACTGCAGATGCAGTAGCTAGCAAACTGTCCTCAAGGCTACGTACTGCGGATGCTGCAGTACCACACTCATTTGCACCGTTTTTTCTAAAAAATACAAAGCCATCAGGCTATGTTTATGCAACTTAACGACTAAAGGAGCAGTTCGTTGTTTTTAGCTGGCTTGTTTTAGAAATTAAAACGCTGACGGAGTTCTTCAGGCAAAACATTGCTAATACTGTTCAGCCTTTAATTTCACGCGCTTTTCATGCGAGAAACCTTCAAAAAAGCCTTCTAGAATAATCCTGCTTCAGAAGTTTTTTATATTCTTGCCAAGCTATGCGGATTGGCTGACGTTGAGCTTGACATTCATTTAATAAACAAAAGAAGATACTTCTTTGATTTAAACAGCTTGAACAAAACATAGCGATTGCAAACGATTTACCGAAAAAACTCATGTTGAGATAATTTACACAACCTCAATCCAAAAATATTGATTTTAGTGTACTGAAGCATTTATCGGACACAGAGTTGAAATTCGTGTATCCAAGCATCTCAACATCTGGCTTCCACATCCAAAAATTTCGCTGTTTGTTGTCTTGATCCTGACTTTTCTCACTGCGGCACCATTTAAGGCATTTTTCTTAATGAAAGTTCTGAAAAAATCTGAAACCAATGCACAGGGAAAAATCTTTTGACCGCCAAAACTTGAATTGATGATATGTGTGATAAATTTAAAGCGGCAGAAATTAAATCTCATTCAGCAAATACACTTCAAATTAATTGTATAATGCATCAAGAAAGGGTCAAAATACATGTCACAATAAAAAAAACCAATTAACAAACTCAACGATTTATGGAACCTCTTCGATCTCAATTGGACTTGTTTTGATATTTTAATTGACAGAGAAAGGTATGTAGCAATAGCACATCTAAAACTCTGGTAAAATTTTTCTTTTAAAACAGCCGTTGTTGAAGAAGTACTGCTTTAATTTAAACGCAGTTTGAATAAAACTTTTAATTTGGCTGACAATTTTGTTGGACATTTGCTCATGTGACACAAAGAATTTTATAACCTGGGAATTTTTTCAAAAAAACTTCACTCAAAATAGAAAACATAAAACTGTACCCAATAAAAATCTAAACTCACGACGCGCCATTGGTAGGTTAATTTAAAAAGCCGTGTGAGATAATGAGACGAAAAACCATTAACCAATAACTAAGGAATTTGATTACTTGCACTAACTAGAGGTAGCTTACCATATGTAAGTAACCTCGAACTAAAATAAAATAATCAAATTGGCGAGCTAATCAAAACCATAACTCATGCAACATGCAATAACTGGATGAAATTAATCAACAATTTGAACTAGATTTCTAAATTGTTAAGGATGTTTTCTAACACAGCTGGAAAGTATTCGAAAATTTACTGAAATTTGTGAGCAAATTCATATACAACATTAACAAGGTTTAGATCACGTATTCACCAATAGCACCAAATCCATTATGAGTCAGTTATTTGTAATAAATTAACTTAATCGGTTAATGAATCGATCAGTAACAGAGTAAAATGGGACAATTTGAGCAGCGGATAGAAAAGAGGACTTTCCCACAAACATGAGGAGTAAAATTCAGAATTTATCATTAACATTACCTTTTGCGATAAACAAGAAATTTCATTTAGCGATAGTTTCTGAATGATTTCAACAAAGATTACGACCAAAAAATGAGCACTACAACCTGCAGTTAATCTGGGGAATTCTATTTATAGCATTATTAAAAATTAGCCCAAATACTTCAGTACTATGCGTTGACGTTTTGACTCTTTTCTTTTTAGTTTTTTCATAACATTTTTTATTCGCTAGTTACAATCTTGATGTTCATTTAGAGATAACAAAGTATTTTTTTTAATAAACCTTGTAAAACGACTAGAGATACTATTAAACTCAAATTTTGCCTAAATTATGAGCCAATTTTGTCTATTGATTCCATTCGAAAAGCAATTTAATTATAAATAGACATTTGAGAAACGATAGAATCAGTGCTTGGACATGAGTCATAGTTTATGAACAAGTTGTCATTTCTGCTGCGGCGTGAAAAGTTGGAATTACTCAAGGAATAGAGAGAGTCGCCCAAGGTCATTTCAGCTCTGCTTCGTCTCGACACGTGATCGCCATTATTAAGTTCACTATTTAAGTTCATCGAAATGTCTCTCGGGTTCGGTGACCTGTTTCCATTTCGCGAACTGTTTTGTTGCTCTGGAATATTTTCTCTACCCAAAGTTGCAGAATTTTTGTCAATCTCTTTTTTGTTTGGACTATTTCTAAGTCTGGAAAAGTGGCGTGAAATTGAACTTCTTCGCTTTGGTCGAGTAGAATTAGCTGCTTTCAAATTATGTTCGACCTAAACAGAAAATCAATAAAAATCACTTAATTAATAAATAACTAGTAATGATTTATGAAAAAGGAGTAGATAAGATAATGAATGAAATAAAAGCAATAAAAGGAAGAGCCCAATCGAATGAGACAAAAAGTGAAGACAGACACGCTTTGTAAAAATTTTCGAAAATTTTCTAACTCGATTTTTTAAAACAGTGCGTTCAAAATTTCAATTTGGTTAAGACGATTTATCCACAAGGGAAAGGACTAACAAAGGAGCTGTTCAGTTCTTCACGGAGAATTGCTGATGTGTCCCTGTTTAAGATTTACATTCATTTTTTTGGCTATTTTTCTGGGCTGGGTAATGATGCTTCACCCTCAAGCAATCGAACATCCGACCTTTTGCTTGAGAAGAAATGACGTAACCACCTCACCAGCGCTCCCCTTTTGTTTTATTTTGCATTCTGACTAAGACGGTTAATTTGGATCGATATTATGCGCATGGGGTATCATTTTATTTATAAGCATGCTCTTTTTACAAGAAATTTTGCACATCTAAATTCTCTTCCCCTGAAATCCAGAATGGACAAACTGTACAAATTAAACTATAATTGTCGGTGAAATTGATTCCAATTATCCAAATTATTGTTGATATGAAATGGGTTCAAAGACAATTTCTCAGTGAAAAATGTTGTCATTTCAACTTGTTTGGTTTTCAACTGACCGAATTGTTCTTTTAAATGATTTTTCGGTTTAATGAACTTTCACTTTCAATTTTCATAATAGGACACTCATGCTTCGTCTTGATTCGTTCATATTATTGACCGAAGTTGAATTGCGCCTCTTTGACAGCGGCGTTTTCTGGTTTATATCTGGATTTTTAACAGCATTTCTAGACACACCATCGCTTCTTGGACTATCCACGCTTTCTTGTCTTCGTCTCGTAATCGTCGCATACTGCTGTTGGTCAAATGATTCTCGCGACGCAACTTCCGACGTTTCGGTCGTTCCGATAGACGCCGTGCTCTCGGAGTGTACCGAAGACCCCGACGACGCCGATCGCATTGAACTCTCCTTCCGATTTAAACTACTCAATGGAATCGGAAGCATGTTCTGATTGTTCTGGACTCCATTATTGACAATTCCATAGTTTGCCATGGAACTAATTGGTCTTCGATTCCCGCCCATGTCGGCGTTATTTCGGTTCACGAAAACCGGACTTGATTCCGCTGTTACCGAAATCCGTCGAGGGTAACTACTTCTATTACTTCTAACACCCCCACCACCATTCACGGGGAAGAAACGTTGACCCCGTCCCCCCATTACATAATCAGACGGTGGGGGCGACGCTAAGTTAGCTCTCAGATCATTCGGCGGGTAGTTCATTCTACCCGAATTGTAGAAGTTGTTGTAATTTGGGTTCTGCTGTCGTAATACATGTAGGTCAAACGGGTTCATTTCCCCATATGAAAGACGTTGACTTGACGCTGAGTTCAGACTCATTTGTGAATCGGTAGTTTCTCTCCGCTGTATAAGATCAAATTAGATTTTAATCGTCAACAGAAGTACTGCAACTACCTTCAAAAAACCCTGCGCTCAATAATGAAAAGCTCAACTATTTGAGGACGCAGCTAATAATTTAGCATCGAAATATCTTTATTTCAGTTTTTTATCCTCAATTTATTTGTATTCAGATTGAAGATTAACTGCAAACGAAAGCGGTTTTTTTATCAGTGATAGTGATTTTTTTTGGAATTGTTTTTTTTTTTCAGGAAAAACGAACTGCAGTAATTTCATCTCGCGGTATTATTGTAGAATTAATTATAAAACTTAGCATAAAAATAAATAAACGTTCCCCTATAATGATCCATTTTATCTTATATGTATGCATTTGAATGAAAAAAAAAACATAAATATGAGCACCTACACTAGTGAGGTTTACCTAAGAAGGTTCAGCTACAAAGTGCACTAAACCGTAATCTAACAACGAAAACTACAGGGAATGAAAAAGTGACAAATGTATATTCGAAATTGGATTAGTTCTGAAAAGGGACAGAATTGTAATACACTAAAGAAAAAATGTCTTCTATTTTTATCTATTAATTTATTCTATGACATATAACCCTAGAAATACTAATTAACAACCTCATGTTCATGTGGAAACACCATCGCTTTTATGTCAAAATATTAAGATATATATCCCCAATTGGTTTAATTTTACCAGAAATCAAGAAAATTTCAGTTATGTTCGTTTTACAGTTGAAAGGGACAGAAAAACACCACGAGAGATACACTCAAAAGTATTCGGAAAACATACTCAAATGATAGGAACTATTTAAATAAGTCATTGAAACCATTAAAAGGAGTTGAATGTCCAACCCAACACCAGTACATAATTTCAAGAAAATCCATTATGAAATTCAAGACTCAACAAACGTTTGAAAAAGCAATTGAGTCAGTCTGGACTAGCATAATTTTTCTTAAGATTAAAAGAAAGCTTGACACATTTTTTTGCGATGTGTCAATCAAACATCCGTTTTTCCTTTTTAATTTATCTACTAGTTAATAAGGATCTTGTTAAATATTCACTGGAGTTCGTGTTTGTATGACTAATTATTTAAGTGGCACAAACAAAAAATTTAATTTAAATTCTTATCAGAAAATGGTTCTATTTGAGCTATTCAAATTGCGGCAATCAAAGTTGAATTTCTGAACATCGAAAAAGGGGTAAAATAGTTAACAAGATCCGCTATTTCTGCTGCCATAATCTCATTCGTAGATATCTTATTCCTTTCAATATATCTTTTAATTTAAAAAAGACAAAGACAGAAAAATGGTTGAAACAATCATTTGAAGAAGCGGATAAAATATAGACAGACAAAGGAAGCCACCACACAGACTAAAAGCACTCAGCACAGTTGGTTTAAGTTACCTATTTCTAATAATTCTCTCTTTCTGTCGGGATCCAAGTACGTTTATCAAAAGGCAATTTGAGTGCTGATAATTCTATAGTTAATGCTGATTTTTTAAACAAAATTCGTACTTTTTTCTTCTGCATAATTAGTTAACTTGACAAAAATGTTCGTTTTTGAACCTAATAGTATGTAAGCTAATTCATAAATAACATTTAATTCAAAAAAGAACGCAATTTCAAAACCTTTATAGACTATTTCAATTTAAAGTGGTTTTCGTACGGTTTCGGTATGGCCTAGTAATTATTCTAGCATTAACTATAGAGTTTAAAGTTGTAACTCGCACTACTTCTGATATGTGCTGTAAATTAACTGGGAGTGTCTACAAATTTGACTAGGTAGACATGTGTATTAATCTACTGGGGCCGGGGTTGAGTTTTGGGTTGCTTGATTGGGATTATTGCTGTAGCAACGCCATTAGGTCTTGCGTAGACCCTTTCCATCGAGGCATCTGAAAAAGATGTAATAGGCATTGGATGTCGTAAGCAAACATAGCCAATCGAAGATTGGAAAAGAGTAATGAACGCAAGTAAACATTAAAAAAAACACTGCCTTTCTTGAAAAATTTCAACTTTCGAACTTCAAAGAAAAAAACAGATGCCCTTTAAGCTCTTTGAATTTATAGAACAATTTATGATTGGCACTTTTTTGATAACTAGAGAAAACTGGATCAATAGGAAAAGTTTTTAATCCGCTGGGTTCATTACTCTTAATAACGGAAAGGAAAGCAAGAAGATTTGGTTCCGACCACATCGCGAAGAACAAAGGAAGTAACTATGTACAGGGTAATGGTTTTATCTTAATTTTGAACAATCCAAATAAAGCTCCTAATCAAGACCTCATAAACTAACTCCAAATACAGCTTCATAACCAAGCCCTATTCGTCGAGCTAAACATTCCCAAAACAAAACATGATAAAAATTTCTCCGTGTCGAGAAAAATCAGTCTGAATAATTTTCAGACTGAATAACACAAAAATCGATGACAGGCAGAATTTCCCGTAGATTAGTTATGTTAATTTAAAATCGATGCTCCCACTACAATTTTAAAATTATTGTAGCAAACCAAAAAAACGCAATTTTAGCCATGGTACTTCTCGTTCTCACAGTTTTTCATCTAATCAATTGGACTTACTAAAAAAACAAAAGAATTTTGCGATATTTTTCACTTATTTCCGGTTTTCCTTTTTTAGAACAATATAAGTTTTATCGCGGTTTTGAACAGCATTTGAGGTTTTTGAATATAGGTCTGACTGTGTCAATGGAAACTGATGAAAGATCTGAAAATTAAAATCTACTCTCGCACCTAAAATTATTAATGCTTTGAGCATTTTCGTGATTGGATTCAAAAATTAAAATCCACTTTTGAAATCTGAAATCAATCATGCTTTTTGCATTTTCGTATTAAGATCCACTTGCGAACGTAAAATCATTCAAGTTTTTTGAAGTTTCGAATGGAATTTTTTCATTCCGCTGGAAAATTGAAAAGTTATAATCCACATTCGAAAACTTAAATTTATAAAAACCGCAAAAACCGAACTTGAGCATGATAAAGTTTACATAGTTTACCCTTAAAAAAGAGCCAACAGACGGTTGGAGAAAAAGGCAACAAACGCAGAGAAACGCAAAAAAATTTTTGCTTTTGAGGAAAAAATGATATACCTTTCAAGCGCTTAAATTTTCAAAATAAAATTAAAGATTGGCAATACTTTGATAAAATTACCCCATCAGAGAAAACTGGATCATTAGGTCACTTTAATATTCCTTTTGGATATCTTAAATTAAAATTTTTTCATAACTTGAGGCCAATAACGTTTTGCACGATCAGTTCACATTTTCGCTGTTCAATAAGTGTGTTTGATAACTTCTCTAATGGCAAAATCCACAAATGGCGAAAAATTGAAAACTATTCCAAATCGCATAAGTTCCATGCAAAAGTTCCATTGAAAAAAAGTCAAGAGAACCAGTTTTATTAAGGTTTGAAAAGTAGTGAGAGTTGTTAATTCAATAGTTGATTGACAAAACATCATGAAAAAAATGGACTCTTATCAAATGCATAGGTTTGCTGTTTGAAACTAATTAACTTCTTGTGATCAATTTTTCCAGAAATGCCACTGATATTTGTTTGGAAGCAATTAATTCCAAATCAAGTTCACAAGTTTTGGTTCCTGATAAAAAAGACATGTTATTTGAAAGAAAGCGTTTGAGTTTCAATGAAAACTTGAAATTTATTCCATTCGGGAATTATGCATTTTGGGACGTTAAAGTTGGTAGCTTCCCAAATGCATTAATTTTTTTTCCCAAATGGCATAAAATTCAAGATTCAAAATTATTAGATTCAAAACAAATGTTGAGTAAAATTATTGTTGGAAAAGTTGCTCACAAGAAGAAAATATTTAGAAGCTATTGTGCTTAAGAGAAAAGTTCATAACTTATTTCAAGATGAAATGTCAATCAACATATGAATTGACAACTTTACTACTTTTCACACCATTTTACCAAACAAGGTTCTCTCAAAAAATTTCAATGCAACTTGCATATTTTTTGCTATTTGGAGAATTTTTCATTTTCATGCCATTTGGGAATTATGTCATTTGAGACGTAATTGTTGAAGTTGAGTTTGTATTCTTTTTGACAAAAGAAATGAAGGATCAATCTCCCCCCCAGCAAAAACGAATAAAGTCTACAAAAAGACGTCAGCAAACGCAAGTAGATGGTTGATGTGTTTATAGCACGCCATCAATTGACCGACTGAAGTTTATCTTACATGAATATCGAGAAAAATTTTGAAAAAACATAGAAATTTAAAAAAAAAAATGTTTTTTTTTTTTTGCAAAATTGCGTTTAGGCGACCATAGCCTTATCGAAGAAAGCGATTTACCAGGGTTGCTGCTCTAGCCTTGTACCTGAATAGCAAAAACGGTTCTCCGCAACACCTAAATATTGCTCGCAAAAACTTTTTGTCATGTTAAGAAACGAAAAAAAGTCGCTTTTTTAGGCTGTTTTATTGATTCTTTTTTCAATCCGAATGAAACTTTTGAGCTTTGATATTGTAAGTTTTGGCTTTCCACAGTCGTTGGAAAATATGTTTTATGATTTCATGTCATTCAAACTTTTTTCAAGTGGTTATAAACATGCCTCAAGTACCTATTGAGCTACCCCCCCCCCCCCCACGCGAGAATGGGGGGAGATGGCTCAATTGATCCGAAATGAACTTAACCTAAGTAATTTAAAATTCTACCGCAAAATATTTCAATTCAGGTAAATATAATTTGAAAACGGTATCACTAATCACAGATTAGAAGCTTATTTGAAACTTCGCTTCAAGTAAACAACACCAAGCAATACTCTTCCCGATACGCTTTTCCTGCGAACAACTAAATGTCGGGTGTGCAACTAGTCATCCAATAAATGCAAACATCGGCAAAATTCTCAAATTATCTTCTTCCTATCTATTTGTCTAAATAAAATACCACGCAAGATTCAACTGTTTATATAGACGCTAAAATACACGCACTTTCAATTCGCTGGGGGTAACTGGTAGCTGTTCTAAATAGCAGATAATTGTTGAATTATCCGCCAAAGAAACGAATGGTTTTTTTTTAGCTGAATGGATCAGAAAATTCAAACGACCGCGATATGAATTAACTACCTCTAAAGAAACGATAGAGTCACCATGTAAGTATCGAAATTTCTGATATTTATAGAACATCAATTAATACCACAGAAAAGTATAAACGAACTCAAGGAAACCGAAAAGATACTTTTTACTTGAAGCATATACCAGTGCATTTACCTCCTCATTTTCCTCAACCAGTCTCTGTACAGTAGGAAAAAAACACAAAAAAACTCAAAAAAATTGAGTTCAAATCTATTTAAAAACTATGAATCGTATTTAAAAACAATGACTTCAAAAAATGGAGTCAATTATTATTTCAGCAGGACCACCTTTCTACGAAGGGCCACCTTTTTCTTAGCACGACCACCTTTTCTGTGTCACCAATTTTTTAAAAAAAAGTAAGTAAATTTTACCTGGTAGTTTTGGGCCTGTGAGGATCTGTCTGTATTGTGAGTACTGTTACTACTACTACTGTTGGATGTCGTCAACACAGACAACGAACTTGCTCTCTTCATTCTGAAACACAACAATCGAAATCCGCTTTAATTTTCCAGAATCTTTCTTCTAGCATTTTCTCTTCCTCTGTCAATCGAAATGACTCTCTTCGTTTTGAAACACGGCTTCATTTCATCAAAAATGTTTTTTTTTATTCAGTATCGTTTCTTGTATTCTTCTCAAAATAATTTTTTCAAACTTTCATCTCAAACATTTGTTTTTGTACGTTTCATTTTTGTGATATTTTTAATGAAAAAAAAATGTTGCAAGCTCAAGAAAAGACTCAGAGCAGACCAGCTGATTTTTTTCATGTTTTGATTACAACGATTATTGTACTATTTCGGATTAGATTTTTGACTGAAAATTTCGACGTGGTGTAAATCCTCACAAAATTGGTTATTTTTATCAGTTAATGCAACACTCACCCGCCCTGCGTGGGAGTCATCATGAACCCTCCCCCTCCCCCAGTGTGGGGTGAATTGGGGGTGTGTGGTTGTCCCTGTCTGCCGAATGCCTTGAACAGTTTGTTGCTGCTCTTTTGAAGACTCTGTCTCAGCTTAGTCAGCGATCCCGCTCTGTACATGGAACCGTCTCCATTCTTAACAAAATTCACGGTTTAGTTTTGCAAAAGACGAATCATGGATCTTTTCTATTATACGGCCAAAAAAATCAAATTGATAGTTGAGCTTCTGTATCTATTTGGAATATAAAAAATTATTTCGAAAGAAGTAATTTTCAGCCAATCAGATTCGAGCATTATGATACAATTTTTAAAAATACTTAAAAAACACGTTTTGGGGTGTATAACAGAAAAGACTTAGCCAATAGACAGTTAGAACAGTATCAACAAACTCAAGGACACCGAAAAAAATTGTTACATTTTTTTGAACATTTTTGACTACGAGTTTCGAAGCAAATATTTCATGTTTAAGCACTCCAAAGGTCAGATACATTTTATGATTGTCACTTTCCTCTTAAAACTAACCCAATTTGAGAAAACTGGCTTAAATGTTTTTTTAACCCGATTAAATTTTTTATACAGAGGGGAAACTTCGCAAACACAAGCAAAAAAAAAACAGCAAAAAGTAGCAATAAAAAATTTGAAAAAACTTGAAAAAGGCTGTGGTAGAATATCGCAACTAAAATTTAATATATTCCAAATTGCCACAACCGACACTGATTTTCCAGGCTTCGCACACTGAAGAGATAAGACTGCGACCGGCACGACCCAAGAAAAATGTCAGCGGACGGCGAGACCAACTAAAGCTAACCGCGATCGAAGCGACAGCTAACCGTGAAAGAAATATGTTAAATGCTCGAGGCCAGCGCAATTATTGACTATGCTGTATAAGTTATAGGCAGCTTGTTCAATTCATGTCGCCATCGGTATGTTTTTTGGGCTAATTCGACGATTAGTTTCAATATTATCAAACGATTTCAATGAAACACCAGGAGTAGTTATGAGTCAGCAAATCTCACACTTATGACAGAGACCAAGTGTTGCATTACATCGTTTTGATGACAGGTCCGAGACCAATGCCCAGACACTCAGGCCTTATTTGCAGACTACGCAAAAACATAAGTAAAAACAGTGCTTACTTCTTTCCTATTCAAAACTTTTATTTTCATGATACATCTTTTCGAACAAAACAATTATTATTAAGCATCGTTATTCTAAACTAGAATCGTTTTTTACCTAGAATCGTTGAAGATAACTTAATTGAACAAGAAATTTTTATAATCCAAGAAAGAAAAAGAACTGAAAGACTTGGACTTACTTTAACTACGTTTAACTTAAACGTCTACTTTGATAGCTGACTATTACGCTGAAAACCAACCAAGTTAACGCAACAATTTTCGTAAACTGAACAATTCAATTAGTCACAACCAGTTAACAACTTCTGCGAATTATGTAACTAATTACACGCAAAAACCAATGAAGTTTCCAGGTAGATCAGCTCGTCATGATTTTTTAAAAGAAACTCACCCCATTATAAACGTATCCTGGGTCTCCCGCATTTCCAATCCGATCCCCAGGATGCTGTATCATACCTCCGCCCACATATGCCCCTCCCCCTCCCCCAAACCCAACCCCACTCCCGTTCATCACGTGACCACCTCCTCCTGCTCCACTTCTGGAACTTCCAGGGGGCACCTCATGACCACTGGAGTCCAGGATCTTTCTGAAACATACTGAAAGTTGTTAATCCAAATAAGAAAAAACATCAGGCATTGATAAGAAAAACATTCAAACGTCAAACAACCAATTATCTCATAATCAAGAAAACGAATCAAATCTAGAAAACGTAACGATGTTATAGTTCCTTCAACAATCAAATACCTCTGATTAGCATTAATTTATTCATCCTCATTTTTTTATTCCACTTTTAACGATAAATTCGAAAAATTCATTTTGAACGAAAACGAAAAAACGAACTTTAAATAAAAATATGATCCAAAATCGTTTGTCAATTTTTTTCCCTTTCGTTCCCTGTCACCTTTTTTTTTGTCAAATTTGACAACCTTTAAAATTTATTCGGAGCCAGTAGTTTCCGCTAGTTTATAGAATCAAGTTCTTAGTAGCACTGTTTTAGCAGATCGTTCACATTCTCTGCAGCTTTAAAAAAATGTCTATTTCTCGGGTAAGGTTTGCATATTTTACGGATCTCCCTGCGGAACTACATAAAGAAAATTACCTGTGATAGTTTTATGAATACTATTTTTGTTGAGTTGTATCTTAGAGCCTGGTTTACTAGCTCTTCTCTCTCCTTTTCAAGTTCCTGGTTTCCGTTTTCCAAAATTTAACTTAAAACGTTTCTCGGAAACATAGAGCAACAGTAGACTTGCAAAACTGAACTACTGAACACTGAACTTCGCGAATAAATATTCCGACTAGCCTTAATACGTTCCTTCTTTCCTCGTCTAATTTGCTGTTGTTGTTTTTGGTTCTGGCTGAGAACTCCTCCAACACATCAGCTGCTTCTGTCTTCCCCTGTCGACGATAGAGCGAGGAGAGGTTTTTGAGGGTGCTGCTCACCGTTGGACTAACAATACAGACCCTTTTATCACAGTGATCACTATTATCATCAATTTGATCACGTTTAGATCTGCAAGAAAACAGTTGCCTAAAATCTGACGTCCACTTGCATAGAAAACTTTTTGTTCCGATACTTTTTACGGCTTTCAAAACCTATTTTGAATTGAACTTTCCCAAAGGAAAGGGTTTGTGAAAAATTTAAACGCAAAAATTAAACACCCAATATCTTCAGTTAAATGCACAAATTACCAAAAAAATATCACAGGAATTGTATCAATGTTTCCGACAGACGCATCAATTGGACTTGCCTGTGCGGACTTCATAATGGAACTTTTGAGGAAGTACAGTAGCGATCATTCGACTTCGTCATTACCGGAAGTTAAATTCTCAAGAGTAACAGCAAGGAGTTTACCGTACGGGCTTCACACAAAATTTTATCGATATTAAAACTGATAATGAATTAAAACTTGATCCGCCTAAACTTACGAAAACTAATTAGAGTTAATAACACTGGTCTCACACAACAGATCAATAAAATTGACATAAACACCACAGGTAGTTCCAATGACTATGCTTTAACTCGGCCAGAGGGGTCCAATCACAATAAACGAATTTTGAAAGGAAATTTGATCCAATCAATTGTCAAATTTTTCATATGAAGTATGTTTGCACAACGTTGATGCTCGAAAAACCAATTCGTAAAAAATCACTGAATATCTGCGAAAGAGATTTCTTATGGATATTCATGAAAAAGCCATAAAAAAGTCGCGATTGATGATGTGTCATAATCATTAGCTGAACAAGGTTAGAAACCTGTAAGGAATACCTTGAATCAGCGAGTCCCCTATGACAATATTAGAAATTTTGGCAAAATAGCTCTAGAAAATATAGGGAGTATATATATATATATATAGATAAAATACATCTAGAAAATAAAGGAAATCATACCAATTGACTGAGGCGCGAAATCTTGCGCAGAATTAATAGTCAATTTGTACCACCTGCAATCAAAAACAAGGATAGCAGGCTACTGTGCAACTAGCACGGAATGTTCCGGCCATAGTCTTAAAAACACAACAAAAATTCAAGATTTTCTAGAACTTAAGCATATTCGACAGTCAAATAAAAAAGGCAAACTGAAAAAAAGCTTTTGTTGAAAAATTACTAGAAAAAGGAAAAAATGCATTAATTTGATTGAAATAAAGAAAAATATTTGAATGTTTTGGATTCCAAAAATGGCGCAAAACTAATTTAAGCCCTGGAAAAAATTTCACGGCTTAAATTAAGCATAAATAAGCGATTTCAAGCCTGCTCGCTCACCTTATTCGCTCCAAAAATCAAAAAGTTTGAACGGGTTTTTCTCGCCGCTGAATCACGCGCTTTAATATGGTATATCACTCGACACATTTCAATCATTATTTGCGGTACCTGATTTTGCGTGGAAAACAAAAAAAAAGAAAAAAATAGCCGAATACAAAGTTACTCCCATTTTCAATGGTCGGAACAACAAGATCCAGGACAGCGTCCTTGACAAAAATCATGTTCCGCAAAATCAGAGAAGTTGAAAACGCAATTCAAGCCGCTAAATATTTACCACATCTATGCATTCCCACGACTTGATGCCACAAACATAGCAAGCAGCGGTAAATGCGGTCTTTATAGAATCCTTATGAGCTAATTTTAACCAAAATCTGCAATGAAAAGCGCTAGTTACAGTAGGAAGTGCTTGTATGATTGCTTTTAAAAAACTAAACAAAGAATTATCATGAAAATTTAGGAAAGGAGTTATATCAACTTCAAACAGCCTAATTTTGAGAATGTTTATGATGCAGTTTTTATTTGTTCACAAGAATTTTTAATATTTACCTCTGGATTTACAAAAAAATAAATCCAGCTGAAAACATCAATCCCCCAGTTAACTCATCAAAACATGTTTTCTTATTCTACAAGAATCTGTCTGGAGCTTCAAAAAATCTAATAAAATTATAAAATTATACAAAGGAAAAAGCAGTAAATTCTTTTTTTTCAGCTGGTCCAAATGGGAGGAACCTCAAATTCAGATAGCCATCTGAAGAACTTGAGGTAACTAAAAATTTCGATTAGTTCAGAAAAAAAAACAGATTATAACACAGAGGCGAAGCTGAGCTTCGTACCATTAGCGATACAACAAGTATATGAGCTTCGTACCATTAGCGATACAACAAGTATATGAGCTTCGTACCATTAGCAATACAACAAGTATATGACTAAAACAATATGACGGTGAAGCTGTTTTTTTTTTCATGATTAAATTTTTTTCCAGACAATCTTGATGGGTAGATTTTGAGCATTCGAATAAATGGAGCCAGAGTCTTAATAATCTTTTGAAAAAACGAAAATTCCTAAAAAACAAAATATAAGATAGAAAAGCCGACAAACAATTAAAATTAAACCTGGCAACCAATAAGCACAAAATTAACCAAAAAGTACTGCTTATATGTTGTCCATGAGTGCTTCATACATAGCTAATGCAATACCCAAGTTGGCAACTAAGCCGACGTGTATCAATTTGTCTGGAAAATGTATCAAATTATCTGCACTCAAAAGCATTTTTAACAAAAAATAACATGCCAAATAAGACAGTTGAACGTTTGAAATGCATCGGAACCAAACTTACGCAGCGGTAACAACCCAACAAGGCAAATTGCGAGAAGACTAAGCAAATGCGTAATAAATCCAAGCTCATAAAATGACAGTTAAAAAATGATGAAAAGTTATGTGAAAATTGTATTAAAAATTTTTCACTAAAACGCTAAGAAAATTTCGAAAATTTTTAAAACTCAATTACTCCTACTAATCGCCTTCAAAATTTTAGGAAAAAGCTGAGCCTTTAAAAAGAGTCCGTGCAAGGCGATCTAAGCGGATAAATAAGGAGGCGGGCGATTGCGGATGAAAAACTGAGGCGGACGAAAAAAGGCGGAGTAAAAAAGAAAAAGGACATGTTTTTAACGTTTTGCTTGGTATAGCATTAGGAAACATTGCCAAACTAAAAAATGTTGATGATTACAAATGACTTAAGACAAAAAGCGGGTAAATGCGAATTAACAAGAAAGCATTAAACAAAACTGAAGCAAAAAAAAAACGTTTTGAAGTCAATTCAGAAGCTTTAGGTAAATTAGGTAAAGATACAAGATACTGATCCTTTCAATTCCAGTTTTAGCCAATCGTTCAGCCCAAAATCACAAAAGTTTGAACCAATTTTGTTACTTGAATTGAGAAAAAACAGAAATAAAAAAAATTAAAACTTCCAAAATATTTTGAACTTTTTTGTTTATTTTTTGTAACCTTCATTTAGAAAGTCTAGGAGGTTGATCGAAAATCCAATCATTCAGATATAATTCCAATGAGAGTAATTCGAAAAAAAATCATTAGGAAATTAATCCGAAAGAGTTGAAGTCGACCGATCTCTGCCTAAAATGTACCAAAAATTTGGAATCCTACTTAAACTCATTTGCAATTAGTAAGGTAACAAAAGTAAATGCCGTGTCGTAAACGCGTGGAGCTAATACAGTTACCATAAGCAACCATGCACATTTTACTATTTGACCATTGTGCCCAAAGCTATTCACGGGAAAAAGTCTAGTACCCGATTGCAGTACCCTTGCTGTTCGCAAAGGTAAGAACCATAACCAACAGACAGGTGAAACTAAAATTTCAAGATTCTTTTACGGTGAACTTTTTCCTTAGAGCAAAACTTATTAACGAAAATTCATCAAATGGCATTTTTCCCCGGGAAAATCTAAGAAAACGAAGTCCAATTTGTTAAAAGTAATCAATCCTTTTTAAGCTCCATGTACTCCTTCATTAATCAAGAGCGAAAATTGCCTTCTTGTAGCAAAGGAAATTGAGTTGGACTGAAAAAGAAATCAAAACTCTAGCGTCAAAGATTAGATGATAAAATTTTTGATTAGTTTTCAGCTTTCAAATTTCGAAAAAAAACTATAAAACTTTAAAGCTCTTTCATACACAAAAATTGTTTATGATTGACACTTTTTTATTGAAATAACCCATTCAGAGAAAACTGGAACACTTAATAATTTTTTTTCATCTGTTAAATTTCAAATTTAAAATCCACTTTCGAAACTAGATGTCGTTCACGTTTTTTGTGACCTATACATTTTGGTAAGTGAAGAACTGAACTGAACTTAAGCATGAAGTAACTTAAGCTGAAGCAAATTATAAAACCAAAACGCGAAAAATCGAATTGAGCGTGAGCAAACAAAGTCTTTTCCCGGAGAAAGCAAAACATAGCGAACAGAAAATTAGAGAACAGTCAATTAACAGAAAGAAATACAAAAAAAAACAAAATGGCCTCAAAACTCTTTCAAATTTGAGAAAAATTTAAGATAACCACTTTTGAAGTAAAATTAACCCAATTTGAGCAATCTGGAGTGTTACGTAGTTTTTATTCCGCTGGCAAATGTAAAAATTAAATCTACTTTGAAAACTAGAAATTGATCACGTTTTTTAACGCAATTTCCACTATCGTAATTGGAAATCGAATTTTGCCGTTCTTTTTGTAAATGAGCTTGAATTGAACTAAAAAAGGACATATAGCTAAGGGCATTCAAAAATGCATTATATGTATAAATGCACTTCTGTAGTTATTAAAGCGTTTTCACTTTTCCTGAAAAAATATAACAACTTATATGAGAGTATGAACAGAGTTGATGATGGTTTTTTATTTTCAAATTGATGGAATTTATTTTTTTCATGTTTCGACTTTCGTTGTCTCATTTTTTTCCATAAAAAATGATGGAAAAAAATTTTTTTTTCATTTCGAATTGCGGATCCAATACTTAATCAGAATAAAGCTTTCTGAATTTCCACAAAGTGGCGCAAAAACACAAACATTGCAGCTAGCGGAAAAAATAGAAACCACTAACTCAACTGAAAAAAAAAAACAATTGGAAAAATTAACACTTTCGTCTGGAAAGATGTTCAATTTGAGCAAACAGCAATGCCAAG